TGGACCTCAAAATCATTTCCGATGAACTTCCTTGTTCTCATAAAAAATGCCAAAGATAAAGGATGTTGGTTTTTCTCTTTCTGGCTGCTACTAAATCAAATATTTTAAAAACTAAAAATACATTGTCTCCCAATGTGTGAACTAATTTTCAGTGTGAACTATTTCTGCAATTGCCAGAATGTTGGTTTGCTTAAAAAAATTTACTGCTTAAATGTATGCAACTCAATAGAGTGGCACAGTTATACAGGTAAGTGGGTCAGGAATTCTAATTTGGGATGGGCTTGCATGATAACAATTATCAGCATATTCCTGAGATACAGATATATTTTCTCTTAAATTACATGTTCCTACCAAAGACAGAACACTTAAGCCTACATATAATTATGATTTCCTTACTCTGTTCATCTCATAGAGCTAAAAAAAAAAAAATCACATGTGGGAAAGGTATAGACAATTGCAACCAAAATTATCCCTGAGAAAATACTAAAATAGCTAGATCCTTTTAATTTAGAAAAAAATGGGGTAGCAGTTTCCAAAATGATAAGTGATACGCAGAAAGATACATTTTTTTAGTTTGTCTCATACCACTAGAACTTGAAGTCAACCAATTAAATTGATTGGCAATAGAGTCTGGAGAGAAAAGACAAAGCACTTCTTTTGTAGAATACATAATTAACTTATGGAATTCACTTTCTTTGGAGACACAATCAAACCAGAATTGCAATTTAGCTTAGCAATTTGAAACAACCAGTATTCTCCCATGACATTGCTTTTCTAAGACAGTGGTGCCAGACTGATCCGAAAAACACTGTAGGAAAGAATTATGAAATAGTATGATATGTGAATTTCAAAAATAGCCTTAATTTTTTTTATCCCTGTGGTAATAGGAGAGTTTTTATTTTTTGCTAAAGTACAGATAAAAGCCCATCTCCTGAGGAAGTGAAACCAATGTGATAATTTATACAAGATGCTTTTCAGGAATGTCCTACTTGTTATCACCATCATAATTTATACTTCCAAATGGCCAGTTTTATTAACTATAACCTATCATATTTTTTTCTAAGGGAGAAAATATATGTTTTACCTTCTGGAGTAAAGATTTTTATAACATTCTTTTCTAAAGTCTGTCCAAAGAACTCTATTTTCAATAAAGTCTATTTTACTTCATAAGGTTGCCAGTCATACACAGTATACTTTTCACACACAAAATGCTGATTTTTAGAAACAATGTCTGAGGCTGTAAATAATGTGAGCAAAGAAAAAAAGATAAATATTTTTTTCACTAAATGGTTTTGCTAAGCATCCCAAAAGAAGAATTGCAGGAGTTTCAAAGAAAGCAAAATAGGTTTGGAAACGGGCAATAAATATGACCTAGAAAGTAGAAACAAAGCTCTATAGCTGAAGATTTACATATTAAATATTAAGTAAATTGAGTGGGGATATAAGACTACTCTTCAAATATCTGAAAGGCTATCAAATAGGAGACAATCAAGGATTGTTTTCTATTGTTCCAAAATACAGGACACAAGTGACAGGAAGACAGATTCAAAAGGAATATTGGGAAAAAAACTTATCAACAAGAACAATTCCAAAATGGAACAACTAGTGAAACAGACAGGCTTCATTTCATTGCTTGGTTTCAAGCAGACACAAGATGCTTTAATCTGATTTATATACCGAGCAAGGAATTGGCCTAAATGGCTCCTTCCAACTTTATGAATCTATACCAAATTTTAATTCTCAAATGTGACACACAACTTAGATATGCTACTTTTGCACCAAATACTTACTCATCTTCCTAAATAACTTGTAGTTTTACAATAAATGTCAAAACATTTACCTGTTGCGCCCTGAATCTCTAAATCCTTTTGCAAAAGGATTTCTATCAATCTTGAGTCTGGTGATCTGTAAAGATAATACGTAGAAAATGTGTAGACCTATAAAATGTAAGGCTTTAGAACCAATAATATAATATTCACTAATTTTTAATATAACACACAGAAAATCTACATAAAAATTGAATTACCACTATTAAATAATAATGAAAGCATATTCTATAAATACATACCAAAAACTCACTGTATGTTAAATATATCAAGTTATTATTTGTTCGATGAAACTAATTGGACATAGTTCAATGAAAATTTAATTCCTGTAAAAATTATGGGGGAAAAATCTAAAACAGTAGCAAATCTCATTTTGATTGAATTGATTTTTCTACCCAATAGCTTTACTACTATCCTGCAGAGATACATTGGTAGGTGTATAATACCCTTGGCATGTACATTTGTCAACGAAGAGAATTAAATCCAGCCTTTTGACATTTCAGCCAGTTATTTTAAATAATTAAATCTAATATGTTCAAAAGCACATTGTTCGATTGTGTAAATCAAACCTAGCCATATCCAGGTTAAAGGGGTTGTGGAAAGGGCAACAAAGCATTTGCATTTCCCTATTCTTATAGCACCGGCAGATATTATCCAATAGCTTTGTACATGGTGGCTCACACCTGGCTGGGAAAGAATGTACAAGATGTTGATTAGGCATTTTGCCAGTATAACCACTTATTTGTGCTTTGAGTGTGCTATGGTGTCATCTGTGATGTATTTGAGTTTGTGGAGTCTGAGGAAGTGGATAAGAACTTCTACTTACTACCACTAGCAGGTTGGATATGTTTCCCATCTATTTCCTCTGGGTAGTCAGGAGAGGGGTAAAGAGTTGATTCAAGAAGTGATTAATGATTTTGGGGGGAAATGGACAGGTACCAGCAGCCTTGAAGGAGGCAGTGTTGTGTTTATTCCATATAGTTTTCAATCTTCTCTTTCTATCAGCCTTTCCAAACAGATTAGACTAGGAATTCAATATTATGTAGATCAGTACTGGTTTTATTGTAAAGCTATAGTATAGTTTTTTTTGCTGTTTACCAGTATTTCTTTTGTTTGTCTAGACTTTAATGAATGTCTATCAGCATTAAAACAAAATAAAACAAAAGTTACCTGCTGATTCTGGTATGCTGTGACAGTAGTGAAAACAGTTTCAGGAAAAGTGAATGCCTTCACGCCATCACCAGAAGGAATGGGTTTGACTGGGGAGAGATCATCCCCACAGTCTTTTCGAATGACATGGACCCGTGGCTGGTATTTGTGCATAGAATGAAGAATTATCTATATTGAAAAAGAGAAACAAAGAAAGAAAAGTGTTCTAATTTTCTTCCCATTTCTTCTATATAAATATTTTAAATATAATAATATGAATTGCCCGTCTTGCTTTATTCTGGCCAAAGCAAATATACTGTGTTGAATCTCAAAACTTCCCTGCTTTAGTTCAATAGAATGGCTTTGGATGATAATTTTTAAGCTATCAGAAGCAATAATCAAAGATTTTAAAAATGGATTGTTAGCCTGAAGCTGAGTCTGTTCAGATTAGACTAAAGATTTTCAGAAATACTCTTGAACTTTCTGTTTGCTGAATCATGAAGAAATCATGTATTCATCATCCACTGCATATACCCATTACAAGGAGTAATTTTATCTTTTATTTATTACACAGTATAAATACAATTTTTTTTTAAAAAAACTTATTACTTTATAAGAATGATAGTAAACTGTCATTCTGAAAATCTTTGCATTAGGATAGCATAACTTACACCACAGCAAAGGAAATCTTAAGACTTTAATTTAATCAGAATCAAAGATATGTCACTGCTACATTATACACTAATGGAATACTCATTGTATCTTTCAAATCCATTTAGACCAGAACTTAAATCATGTTCTTAGAGTATGTAGTCACCAGTCCAAAACATAATACAAATAGTGCTTTTTTGTTAAAAAAAAAAAAAAAAAAGGTGCCGAAACTCACAAACGTCATACAACCCGCCTTGCCTACCCTATAAGGTTCCATCCAAAAAAGGTGCCGAAACTCCGTTCTGGGCGTTCTATGAGGAAAAAAAAGCCCTGGATATAATATTCACACAACTCCAAAAGATGGAGTGTTTACCTATACAAACCAAAATAGAAGGATGCTCAATTGATGCTATGAGAAGCTTGCCAAAGAATGCAGGCAATCCTGCAAAGAAGATCCTAATTTCAAATAATAATTATGCATACAAATACTTCTGACTAATGTTTCAAACAATCTAATCATGACTACTCATGAAACTAATTCCTACCCACCCTGCAACTGTGTTGACTATGCCAGTCTTCCATGCCAGTATTCAAATAGGATTTATCTTTGTATACTCATTATTCTTCCCCTATTCCTACTTGTTCATTCTGTCTCCTAGATCATTCATAGCATCTCAATGGATTCATTCAGGTAGCAAGTTTTTTAAACGAATCCTAAAGCCCTGAGCTGGCCTTTCTATATTAATGTTTCCTTCACAATGCAGCAATATCCCCATCTAATAACATAGAAGTGTTCAATCTCAGCATTCGTAATACCCAATCCATGTTTAAGAATTGTTCAGGTGCAAAATACCTAAAGATTCTTGAGTTGGCAAAACTGTTGTAAAAAAATTAGAATAGCCACTGTTCATAAAGCTACATATTGTTATGTGGATTCATCGTTAATACAGTGGTTAACAATGTGAACTCTGAGGTTGGGCAAAACAAAAGTAAATGGAATTAGAGTAGCAAAACTAAAAGCTCAATGACCTAGTTATAAACTGAAAATAAAACAGGCATGCAAGGGGACTAGAAATATTTTCACTTAATCTATACAGATTCTCAATTGCTATTTATTTGTTTGTTGATTTTTCTAACCACCTATCTCCCTCAGAAGAAAAATATCTCTGAAAAGGAGTTGTAAACACACTGTCCATCAGACTGTGCGATGTCTACATCTCTGAAATGTCATTTCTTTTTACTCCTTCCCAAGTTCAAAACTGTTCATGTGATGCCTCTAGAACGAACATGGGAATGTTTTCATAATATCTTATCAACCATAGTTTTCAAAGATTTCTGGAAAAAATATTACATCAGTTTTAGGATGCATCTGAATTTGCTTCAGATCAAAAATATGTTACTTTTGGAAGTTGTTTTGTTTTATTTTGAAGTTTCATGTCTATCAGCCAATAGTCTTATCGATTTAAAATGAATACAATTTTTAATTTCCTGTTTCATTATTGCCCACAAAATATTAAATTCAGCATTGCATGTCATCATTCCCTGGTTCCCATTTTATCCCGATTGAATGCCAAATACCATAAAATCTTACTGTGCCCAAAAATGGAAGGATTTTATATTTGAAAAAAAAAATCTTGGCTATCATTAGGACACTTTTAAGTGAAATCATTCCACACTTGAGAAAGTGACAGTCTTTTGGATAAGCAAAATTCCACATACGTAAACTTCCATTACACTGAACTCTGATTTTTGACAGTTTTATCAGATGCACACCAAACATGCTTAGATAAGTTTCCTCCAAGTACTTTCCCCAACATCTGTATTTTTATCAGAACAAGATATCAACAATCATTCTGCTGAAGCAAACATTTCAAAAGTATTCTAGATATTTTGGACACTTTGTACTGCTTTGGTAAAAACACACTGAAGAAGAAATCACTCCATAATTCTGAAAATGTTAATATACTTCTCTGTGTGTGAGAAAGAGTAGAGTGAATGAGTGAGTGTGAATGCTTTTGGCACTATCCATATGGAAAGTTATTTATTTATTTTTCCATCTAGAGACTCTTTTGCACAATGAGGGATTATTTTTTTGTTGTTACTCATTTGACAATAGACTTCGGCTTAAAAAAAAAAGTCTATCACTACTAGTTGTCTTACAGAAATAACTGGCCAAAGATTTTGACTTAACAAAACAATGTTAATGACCCAGGGTCTTCAGATAATGCAACGTTGATGAATGATTTCTTCACAGTACAAGAGAATTCAAGGACTGGTTGGAGAAATTAGAAATAAAGATATAATCTTCCCTTTAATGAGAATGAGAGACCAATGCATTGTGGATTATGATTTCCAAGAAGAAACTAAAAAAAAAAAGTTACTGTGGAACTTCTCCCTTCATTTTCATGAAGGCAGTTCCTTGGATACAAGCTTCAACAAAATTAATAGGGCTTAGACTTTGAACTTAACTTTCATGTCAAAGCCTTCTGGATGAAATTAATGAACTGAATTAGTATGTTTCTTTCTTATGCTAAAACGTACCGGGCATACCAGTAAACGGTCTGTTACAATTCCACAAAGTCACTCAGGATTAGAATAATATTCAGGATTAGAACTAAGTATCTCTCATTTCGATTCAATATATTTTCTTGAATGTGTATTCCTGAATGTGACTGAGATAAAAAAAAAATTGCGACTGTGAAATAATATTTTTTAAAGTTCACCATGAAAAGCCTAAGAGTACTTTTCGATTTTTAATATTATGTTGTAGCTTGAATACTAATTATATTTCAAACTTGCTCCTTTCCCTTTCCCCTGTTTGCAGATTCTTGAAACTCTTTTATTGTGTTTGGTTATGCTTAGAAGTGCTACAGATGAAACACAAATGTATACTATTTTTAGTGATCTAAATAATGCAAAGCAAGATAAGAAAATAGATTGATAAAAGATCCCAAACCACACCAAATCTTTTTCAAGCAAGCAGCACTTAAGTATTTGTAAAACATCCAGCAATAACCAGAAACTAGATTTAAGCAACATATGTGTGACAACAAAGGCCATATCATTATGCTATATCTATCCTCCCACATGGATTTAGAATTTCACAACAGTGAGTCTGTATAGATAATAATAAACGAATTGCTGGAATTTCTAGCCTTTCTGCAAAAATAAAATAATCAGTATGTTGGTATGTTTGGAGTGAAATTTTATAGCTTTCAAGAGATTTTTGAAAACTATACTTGCAACCTGTAGTTGTGTCCCTGCTTCTAATTTTCACTGCCATGACTGGTTTGTTAGAAGACATTCACCCTCACTGTAAAAAAAAGTGTTTTATTCAAAAGTATTATTCAGGACTATGCACTCTGAAGTTCAGTTGGATTCACTCCAAGGAACTAAATCAGGACTACAGCTAAATTTGGATCATAAATATTATTTTAGGTTTCTATAAAACGTATTCAGCTATAAATGATTAAATATAAAACATTCATTTATACATCTCTACTGTGGCCAAAACAGTGTAGGCCAAACACATTTTCTAGAGGTAGACATCTCAATTGGGGATTATGGGAAATAGAATATTACATTAGAGGACATTTTGGTCGTCTAATAGCATTCTACTTTAATCTTTTTATCCTAGACATAATTTTATCCTTGCTCTGCAATTTCTAAATATGCAAATCTGCACAATCAATACTAGTAATTATTTCATATTTAGATCCATTGAAACAGTACATGCATACATACATTTTAAGACAATGCATGCCATTGAAAATTAACATTTGTTTTCAAATGTTTTCAACCTGAGGCCATCAAGTTGCCTAATTATGTGTTGGACTGAAAACTTATCACTGAAAACTTATCAGAGTCTTTCCTCACTAGTGGTCATCAGAATAAATCAGCCCTTAATTTGCCAACACTCTAGTTTACTTGGAGAACAAAATGCGCTCCTGGCTACAGTTAATATCTTGTCTTCTGAAATACTAATTTGTATGAAGAGGCAATGTTATGAATTGTCCAAGCTTCTGCCAGGAATTTGTCAAAGATGCATCAAGACATAATTGGTCACATGAAAATATCTCCCCTAAAATGTATGAAAGTGGGAAACAGTAACATTTATAGAGATCCAGCAGGAACAGCTGGTTATTTTTCTGAAAAGCAAAGGTAAGTCTGCTTAAAATGTGGGTTATGGTGAAGGGGAAACCCTGAGATTGCCAGAGCATTATAGTACTGATCATAACTGCTAGTGAAGAAGCACTTTTTCGGGCGGCTGCTGATAAAAACAGGATCGCCAACATGATCGCCAATGTCCGATAACGGATATGGCACAAGAAGAAGAAGAAGATATATACTAGTATGTTGGTATTTTCATCTTTTTTCAAATCAGTGCTTCTTTTATGCTTTCAATTATATTGTCATAACCATACAGTTAAAATTTGGGAACTATTAAAGAAACAGAATGCAGAAAAGTATTTCAAGAACAAGTAACACCATTTTACTAGTAAGCATGTTAATTGTTTACATTACAGTGAATAAACAGCTAGATTTTTAATACCAGTAAAATAGTTTGTTTTATGTTGGTTGAAGAATATAATAAATCTTACGATAATTAATAAAAAAATTACAGCAGGAGATAAGGCAAACTTGAATTTAATTTAATTTTTTATACTGTATTTGAGCGAAGAAAATAATGTTTCAGTAAGTACTATAAATACAAAGAGACAACAACATTATTCTTCGGCTTAGTAAAATGAGAATAAGAATATTTACTCTAATCTGTACCCTTTTAACTTCATTAGTTCAACTATGAATATGCACTATATTAAGAATGGTTCAGGTTTTTGTTTTATGGAAATTATAAAATTATATGAGGGGAAAAAACTTTAGACGTGCCATTTGGAGAACATTTTAGGAAATACGGTTGATATTACAAATAATTTTCAGTCTATATGAATGTGAAATAAATTCAGTTTAAAATTCTGTTCTACTGGCATTTTACTCCAATAAAAGAAATGGAATAATGTAGGAGTATACAGGAATTTTAAAATGTGGTATTATGCCATATTTTCTAAACCTATCCCAAGGTGCTATTATATTTGAAAGGATTAGATTGCTTTGTAAGTATTATTACTTTATTAACTTAATCAACAGGAATTCCAAATATACAGTAAAGAGATAAATGATTTGATCTCTGAAAAAATATCTATGCAAGACATTGCAAAATATCCTAAATCCCAATACTAGGAAATACCTCTTGAAAGTATTAAAGTTTTATCAAGATGAAATCGATGTAAGTGGTAAATCTATACAAATAAAAATGTAAATGTTCGTTTGTTCAAAATCTTAAATCTCTGAAAGTTCTTCACCGATTGCTTTGAAATGTTGACACAAGGTTGCATTTGAATACGCGCGTGTTTTTATATACCTTTGAAATTTTGACACAAAGTTGCATTCGAATATGCGCGCGTTTTTATATACCTACTATTATATAGATATCACACCTGTGACACAAACGTGCGCTTTCTCTTTTCTTTCTTTTCCATTTAACCAGACTGAGCCACAGCAACGCGTGGCCGGGTACAGCTAGTATAAATATAAATATTTAAATAAGCAATTTAATCTGAATTATTTTTAAATTCCTATGGTTTGGCAGAGGCAAAATTTATATTTTAAAATTGAGAATTATTTATGTATTAAAAACTGTCAGAAGCTTTCAGTATCAATATACTTAAATGTCCAAAGCATGATTACAGACATTGAAAGTATAAATGGTAAGGTATAAGTGGTAAGAATGTATTTATCAAACAATCTTGTTTCCCTGACAAATCTGAACATTTTTTATTTGAAGTATTTTGGCACTAAATCCATATACACTTACTGTATAACAAGGTATAAAATATTCTATTATTTAAATAATATATTTAAATGCTCCAGGAAAATTATATAACATTTAATATATCTGCAAGCTTACAACAGCATTATTATAAAAATATTGTATCAATATTGTATCAATTTATATAAGACACATGATTTATTCAATGTGTAATAATTCCACCATTTTGAAATATTTTCTTATTCAAACTTGGTGGCTAAATAATCAAAGCAATATACTTTTGAATGATCTTTCTCCATTTTATAATTCTGACTGGGTAACAATAAATTGTTTCAAATCTTTTTTTTTAAAATATAAACGTTTGACTAAAATTTTCAATTTGTTAGTTTTGAATCATTTGAGTGTATATTTTTTCAATTGATCCAGAAGAGATACTTGACTTTCTTCCAAACTGAAGTATTCATTAATGTACAGCACTTCCTTAACTTTAAAACTACAACATGAATAATAAATAGCTACGTTTATACAGTTTTAATTCAGAAATGATTGAAGTAAATCTTCTAAATAGAAGATTTAAAAGATATAGAAAATTTGCTTTTTATACCTTTCATGAAGTGTTGTTATCCATCTCACAGAGGTGTGAATACCAGCTTCTGAATAATTTAAACTGACTACAGTAAAAGTAGTATTTGATAAGACTACAGCTTTCTTCTAAAAAATACCATTGACATCTGAGGCCTCTCTCTCCACTCCTGTTCAAATGAGATGCGGAAATCCAATAGTCCTTCCAAAATGATTGGAATTTCTATTTCTGTTTTATTTGAGTCTCTTGATTCCTTTGATGATCTCACAGGACTACTCTCCTTCATCTAGGAATAAACTATCTTAAAAATGATTTAACTTTAACTGTCTTACAAAGTTGCATTGCCATCTAGAAGATCATTTACAAAAGAATTAAGTTAATAGGGCCAATTTTCAGCTGCACTCAAGCTTGCCTAACACTGACATAAAGACACAGGTAATAAATAATAATAAAAGGAGGAAAAACAAGACACAATCATAATACCGTATGAACATAATGATTATCAAAGTTTCATAGATTTTCCACAATTACGTAAAAGATTTTCCAGATTATTATGCAAAACTAGAAAATTTAAACACAATTTAAAATATTCAATGTAATATTCACTCTAAACCATATTTCACTTAGAATTGCAAGCTAAAGTAGATTTAGGATAACACACAAAACCCTACTTCCACAAAGAGAGAACCTGTATTCTTAAAAAGGCCCTTATGTATCTCCAAAATGCAGTCTATTTTTCTAAGTCCAAGTAGCCACCTATTTCTGAATTTATGAAAATTATCAAAATACTCAACTTAAAGCTATTTGTATATTATTATTGTTATGTAACATGAGATGTATTTTAAGCATTTTAAAGACACTTATGTGTATTCCGTTTTTCCTTGTTTGAAAATAACGGAAATATTTTTCCATTATATATATATATATATATATATATATATAAATCAAATGAGCTAGTATCATAACTAAACAATTTAGAGCTTTCAAATACAATAGTTAAACTATACAATTCCCTTCCAGTTTTGCAGATGTAATGAGCTTCAGCTGTGAAAAGATCTTGTTGTATAAGGTAGGTAATAAATCATTATCAAAGTGAATACAGCTCTCATGTTGCTCCTTTTGAGTATAGCATAAACCTCATGGGAGCTTTGCAAAAATTATCAAATCATGAGATACATTTTCTTTAGTGCACCTATGGTTCCTGTATGTTGAGAACACTTATTTTAAGGATTTATAGTCTATGTTTTTTCACTATTTTTTTTAAAGATTCAACAACTACAGAGAGAAAGGCAAAGTATACTGTTTGTTCTGTACTTTCAGTTTTGATATTTTTCATATGCTCAATTTTGTTTCTGTCCAAAGGCCCGAAAGAAACATCTGAAGCAAACTATTACTAATTCACTGATGTGGCAAAATATTTATTAACAAAGCTGACATAAGCTTTGCTAAATCAATCAATTTTTGTTAACGTTAAATCCAAAGCTTTATTGATTTATTTTTAAGAGTGGCTGGTCTTATGTTAATGTTGCTGAAAAACAAATATATATATAAAAAACTCACATGACCCTGATCATCCAGTTCATTGTTTGTAAGCTTCAGTTTGTCAAAGCTAATCACTTGCCGCATCCAAGTCTCTCCTGAGGCAGGTGAATCCGGATGAATGTACACACGGGCAGGCACAGGTGAGTCAGCATTGCCAGCTACCATCCATTTGGAACTATGATAAACATACCTATGGGAGAGATTTATGATATTCACAATGAAAATATTCTTTCGCAAGTTTGCTATAATAGAAGTATACTCTATAATCCCCCATTAGATTTTACTTAATGTTGTTTTATATTGTTTTTAAGCAGGGTTCATTATGCATTTAATTCTGATCCTACTGTAAATTGCTTCAAGATGCTTTGGCATGGAAAGCAATATAGTAAATAAATAATTATTATTTATTTACTTTCTAAGGCTGCCTACTTTCCAAGAGATTCTGGGTGGCTTATAAGAGGGTTACAAACATCAAAACACTGAACACTAAACATCACAGAAGTAAAACCACCACACCAAGGAAGACAGATTCAAAGTCTGCTATGTGCTATTGTGTTCAGGCACTGTCTAAGCCCAGTGTCTTCGAGAAGAGTCCAGTCTTAAGGCTTTCCTAAACGCAGCAGAATTGGGGCCATGCAGACCTGTGTGTGTGTGTGTGTGTGTGTGTGTGTAATCTGTTCCAGAAAGTCAGAAACAGCAACATATTTACAGAAGAAAAAAGAGGGATTGTTTTCCTGGTCTGCATTACTTCTTTACCGTAAAGAAAAATACAGTTATAATATGATTTAAGCTTAGTGGTCATATTTTAATAGAACAGTTTCATTACTGAATAAATTATTCAGTATTTTTCTATCAGTAAATTGAACTATAGATAGAAAAAATTGTTCCAAATCCCTCACTGAATTAAAACAATTCAAATATTATAATTTGAATCAACAAAAACTTTGCTTGAAAAAACAAATCAATTAGGTTTGTTATCTTAGAGGTGAAAATATGTCCTTAGCACAGGAATAAACTACATGTGTTTTATAAGAATTACACCCAGGTAAAAGTGTTAGAACTGCAGCCCACAAAAAGAAAGGGTCTTTTGTTAATGGGAAAGGCTTTTGACCCAGCAGTGCTTTTCCCTGGTGAATGATAAGGGAGGACAGAGACAGCTTTTATCAATGGTCCCTCCTCCTTACAATCCAATGATACATACCTATATTTCACAACAGATTGCACCCTTAGGAATTCACCACCAATTCACCATAATAAGATATGATGATAGCCTGCACGACTTTAAAAGAGGATTCATGGAGGTAAGGCTATCATAGGCTTAATAGTTTTGGAGAAAGTTGGGGCAAATAGCTTACAGATAGCAGATACAAAGGACCGTGGAATGTCTGTTTCATGCCTATAAGTGTACAGAAGTATCCAGTTTTGAGAAATGAAATGTTGGATTAAGATGGATTTTGACCTAATTCAGGGGGATGATTTGTATGGTTTTTTTTTAAATCACTGAGTTGATAGGGCTGAACAAGAAGAATAAATCAGCAAAATCAACACCCCCTCCTTCTGCCAAGACAACAGAACCATCAACTCACAATCAAAGACAATCGATGCAAAGTCTATGTCTCTATCTCTATCTCATCTCTATAAAAAGTAAATTTATTTATATTTCCTATTTCTAAACTGCCTACTCGCTTAGAGAAGGGCTTTGGGTGGTGTATCCAAACATTAAATCTGTATTTAGAAGATTTCTTTCCTTATATTTAGGTAATCATTTAGCAGAAAGTTTATTCATAATACACTATTTAACATTCTTATTTCTGTGCAGAATTAAATGCAGATGAGAAATGATCTGCATGAGTTGTAAATTTAAGTTTCACTAAAGCTAGTAGTAAAAAAATAAATATTTTAAAATTTAAATTAAAAATTAGACTGTTATTGTAGAAACATGGTCTTTTGCATAACACCTGCAAATATATTTGCATTCATAGTGAGTAGAGCAATTTTAAGCACAGAAATCCTACTGAATAAGATTATTTAGAAAACTTATTTAAGATCTGCAACTGAAGGTGATCAACTACAATTCAGATTCATAAAAATGTTTTATTAATCTGTCTTTAATTATATTTATTTGACCCTTATATGATAACTGAAATTTCTCAGCTGTTTTAACAAATGACTGGGTCATTTATTAAAGTATTATCACAATATTGTGCACTAGAATCAATTAGGATGACGTTTCAGAACATATGAAATGCAGAATTGGGCCTTTTTATAAATCCAAAAGATAAACCAGAATTGGAGAAAGGAGAATAAATATAAGGATGTTATGTTTCGTAACTTGGATTTTTTTTTAAAAAAAAATAATACATTAACACATTTTCAAACAACAGTGGTTTTAAAAGTACTTCCAGTAAATAAAACCACAATCTTTTCCTCAGAGAAATAGCAAAGATATTATTAAAACAAATGTCTAATTTCTTAAATTTGCAATTTTCTGAAAGCATTCATTATGTTTCCCTTCCTACAAATTTAGGAATTCTAGTGGGAATACTTGCAGATATATACCACCTTTGCAAGGATCTACAAGATTGAAATCTTACATTAACATGTTTAACAAATATTACTAACAGCCATTCAGTGATTGCAAACAATTGTACAGAAATAACAGCACATATTAAATAGCTGAATGAAACTTTTCCATACTATGGTTCGTCGTAACTTTGAACAGTCACTAAGCAACCAGTTGTAAGTTGAAGACTACTGATAACCGGCCCAAAATCACCCAACAAATAGGTTTCATGAAACTAGAATTCACAGTCTCCTGCTATCTAGCCTGGCTTTTCCATACTAAAAATCAGAAAGGAATATTAATTCTATATAATTTAATCCTGTATCCAATATGGTTAACAGTTATATTCCTTGATTAAAAAACAATTTAAAAATCAGTACAATGACATAAACATATAAAGACAAGAGCCTGATAAATTATTATTAAATGAAATAAAGGTTTAAATATAGAGCAGCAAAAAACCCCATATTTGTTTGAATGAAATCATATATTGCCTTGAATAAAATTATTTTTGCATGTTAGCAAAAAGCTATCAACCAAGATAGGTTTTCTTCATTGGTGACTTCCAAATGTAGTACAAACCACTGAAAAAGACTCCAATTTACACCAAATGCATATAAAACCTGGAGGAGATAGAGAAGGAGTCTGCTTGGGCATCTCACCTCAAACAAGTCAATTCTTCAATAAACTGATCTTATATTATCTAAGAATTTATAATAAACATTCTGAATTGTACCCATAAACAAATTACCAGCCATATAAATTGTAGTTCTTACACTTTTTCTATAACTGGTCTAAGTCTACAGTCTGACTACGGCATTTTAAGATGGCTGAAGTTTCCAATCTTCAAAAGTATGGAAGTGATCTAATCCAGATGTAACTATACTATGTCTTACCAGTGCCAAGTCAGACACCTTAACAGGCATATTTCGAGCCGAACAAAAGACTCCTGGCTACCAATGAAAGGGAAGTATCCAAACTATGATTAAATCTAGAGATATCCTCAGACTAAGTATCTTATCTTTTTATTAGCCAAGAGCAACTAGATGCTTTCATTTTGTTTGCTCAATCAATTCAATCCATACCAAACTGTATTTCAAAAAAATCAACATTATCTTTGGATTATGAGATAGGACTAGGAATCATCCAGTTTGTGCTAACACCAAGGTGAAAAGCAAGGGACAATCTTCAGAAGGAATCTAGATTTCATGCTGTTTAAAACTGATAAAAGGTCAAGGGGGGGTCACAAAAAATTCACTCTCCTATCAAGTTCCCAATTGAAGGGCATGTACTAAGACAGTCAAAATAATTTCAATCCCGTAATAACTATCAACCCATATTCAAGTGAATCTAAGTAAACTGTACAATACTCCCAAGGGAAAAATGTATATTGCATGTCATTATATGCTCCTAAACATATTTTACAAAAATCTGAAAATTACACAACATAATGAAATTCAAGGCTAGCTTCCTTCTATTAGCTTTTATAAACAAAAGAGAATATGGTTGAACCATTCAAGGACACACATGGTGTATATTACTTTTTCCAGAATTTTATCCAGTTCATTGGGCTGTTTAAACTGAAAAATATCCATCAAAATTGGAGAATAATAGAACTCTATTAAACTCCTTTAATGATAGTATTCAGGTCTAGCGGGTATGAATGAATTTATCTGCAAAATCCTTTGCTTAACTGGATGCAGTGAACTACTAAGCCAGCCTCATTATTTCTTCGAGGCCCAAATATAGACCTATGTTTACCAGCAAAAAGCTCCATTACCTAACTAGCGCACATACTATGATAGTAGAGGGGAAAAAAAATCTTTGTCCCATTTCTCTTTTGGAATATTTTTAAAATAGGCTTCTATTCTACATTCTGTCAAAATTTCTCAAGTCTTTCACCAATGTCTCTTCAACTTTCATTTTAATTTAAGAAATAATGTAATCTATCTATCCATCTTAGGGCATTTGTTTAGCTTCGTGAAGCAAGCATGCTTAGGAATAATTGAACAACTATCTTTGGTACATGGCATGAAAATCAACTGCTACACATCTACCCTAACAAAGAAATAACCAAGGAGAGAAGGACAACCAATATCCAGTTGAATAATCATAATTCTAGTATGGCCATGTAGCGTCCATCTTGAAAATATATTCATTCCAGTAAAACTTATACAATAATGTCCCATCTTGAAATAATTCAAAGCAGATCTAGGGTATTAAAATTGTTGAGTATTTCTTCCATATCCTTCTCTTTTTAAGCGAAAGACCAGGTATGAGTTTTAAAGGGATGCTTTATCATAACTGCTTTATGAAGCAAACTCCATCCCACCATCTCTTTATGGCTGAAGCAAAGCAAGTACATTTCTTCTTTTAGCTTTGTAGTCTTCTCCAGCATTTCACTAGCTGGAAGAGGCTTCTGTGCTGTCACTAGTGGACCTGCTAATCAAATGTCAAGATCTCAGTAAGGCATACCACATCAACTTTGTCTCTTGACTAGGTAAAGACATTGTTTCCATGGCAAAACAGACAAATTACAGTTGTTGTAACTTTAGCCACCGACTAGTTCCATATTCATGGACAGTGTTCTTATTTGGGCAAGCAAAGTGATTTGCACCGTAAGGACAATCCACTTCATTTCAGTCTTACTAATTACAGTGAATCTATTTGCAAGTAAGGAGCTGAAGGACTGTTGCTTACAGGATAAGAAAAAAAAAATTGATAACAGGGTATTCAATATGTGAAACAAATGTATAATGCTCAAACACAAAAACAAAAAACAATAATCAAACTTGGGGTTGTCCATGGGCAAAAAGAACATAGGAATTTGGAAGGGAATTAAGCACAATTTTGTTATTTTCCAAATAAACAATATATTTTGCAGTTCCCTCATCCCATGTATTAAACATTAATGCTACTTACCTGTATCTTTTGTTGTCTACAGGGACAATATCCATAGCAATGTAATACTGCTGATGAGGATCTAGGCCTGAAATTTTCACTCTCATTGCAGGAAACATTCGTCTGAATATAGAAAGAGTATTTAATAAAAAACAGATTTGGGACACAAAGTCAGGAACAAGATTGAAGTATAACCCTCAACTCTTTCTCATTTAAAGTTATCTGCAAGCTTTTTTTCCTTTTTAAATGATTAGAGCCAATTCACTCACAAAACCCTAACACAGGGGTGTCAAACTCATGTTGCCACATATTATGACTTTTTCCCCATTGCCGGACCTGGGGTGGGTGCGATTTTAGCATGATGCATCTGTCCCCCGGGCCGGCAGTTTGACACCCCTGCCCTAATTCGTATGTCTCAATAACTTTTACATCTATTTTTTGTTAGTGAAATTCCTTCAAACAACAAACTCAGTATAGATGTGAATTAGCAAGCTATTTTTTGTTTTTTATTTGTTGCTCTGTTTAAAACTCACATCACAGGCTGAAGTAGCAGCTGCAGCTACTCATAAATACGATTTTCAGTTTGTCATTCTGATCCTCAAAAATGTTTTCTCAAATGTAAATAGGTACAGCTCATTTTCATGTTGCAGTGCCCCGAACATAAACATTTTCCCTCTAGGATTACATGCATACATGTACACACACCCAAATTCATATCTAAACAGATGATCAAAACTATCAGTTCTGTCAGGGGAAAAGAAGATTTATGACTTTATCAGCTGCTTCTAATAATTAGCATAGTGAGAGATTATAGCATCTGTCACCTTTTCAGCAGTGAATATATGTTACAAAAACAATAAGCATGGTTTTAGAAGTGAATTTCCCAGGACAGGGTTATACTACTTAAAATGTTTGGGGGGAGGTATATACATAAACTCCAAATCATCTAAATGATATTCATATAGTATATAGACAAATACATATATGTCCATAAAGGTACCATTCTAAATGTGTATTTAGAAACAAATTCCAATAATACAAATGGGACTTTTGTATAAAGATAATTATGAATTATTTCCCCCACTTTTTAAGTAAAAAGACTTAAGTATTTAACAAGTATTCTAAAATGTATTTATATTTCATATTTCTAAACTGCCCATCTCCCTCAGAGAGAAAAAAATATTTCAAAAATTATCTCAAAAATTACTTCATTAAGAATAAAAAAATCCACACAGCAATCACTACATGGAAATCTATGAAGTACTGTATTGTATTTCTCAAATTAGCTGTTGAGTAAAAACTGTCTTAGCTTTAAAGGAATTTCATAACAAAGATATAGTATATTTTTACTTTCATATAAGGACCATAGATTCAGTTCTATTTTCCTAAAATTCTGTCTTTTCTAAAAGTATGAAATCTAAATTACATTCTAGAAATAATAAATTAACATGTTTAAAATAAGCAAGAAGCAAAACTAACTATGGCTACCTAGCTGTTAACATTTTTTTAATCTGTAAGATAAAAAGGAAAAATTGACAGGAGTCAATGTTAAGCCAAATGTTGCATTTCAATCATTGAAAATAAAGAAGGTAACATATGGTTTCAATAAAATGTGTTTTTGTCATTGTTAATGCATTCAGATATATTTCTATAATGCAGATTTTTATCATGTATACATTCTTTACAGAGTAAGAATAAGTTATCTTTAGGATAATGTGCTTTTGTTAAAATAATGAACAGGAAACCTACCATTTCTCACGTTCTGCATCATTTATAATTCTAATGGCCTCTCCAGCTTCATAATTTGCTAAATTATTTTCACATATCAGCAATTTGAATTCATACCCACCATTCTTAAATATTATTATGTTAGACATAATTTAAATTTCTAACTTTCACAACAGTAAAATGTAAATGTTTGTATCTAATTAGTATAATGGTGAAAGTTTGAATATAAAAAATGTTTGAGACAATACAAATTATCTGAAACAGAAAACCAAAGGCAACCAATGGTGTCTCCTGAATATTTTGCTTCTGATCTAATCTTTTGATTTTCTACCAAAAACATCTATTTGACTCATACTTCAGGATGCTAGAAATGGTAAATGAAATATTTTCACCGTTGTGAACAAAAAATAGATACCACAGAGAATAACATTTCAAGCCATATCTAACATTATATATTTTAAATAGACTGATCATTATTAATAAACACTTTAATTTCAAACCAATAGCCTTTCCAAGGAATATATTGAAGATCAGTGATTAGCTGGGGGGAAAAAAACATCGTTTTTAGGACCGTTACTAAAATTGTGTCCCTTATGTTAAAATATCTCTCTAAGTATGGCAATATCAGAACGTGGTAATTAATTCAAATAATGTACAACCAATCCCTGTAATTCTGTATGCATGCACATGGACGTAGTTTGCATTTCGATTTGGTATGCCATTCCAAAACACAGTCTGACTTTTAAGATTTACTTCCAAATCAAGACGGAGGGGATGGATATGCTTTTCATAACGTTATTTAAAACTACTTCGTGATTAATTACCCGTTTATTTGGAAGCACGTCCACCAGCAAATATGTTCGGGTGGAACGGGGCCGTTTCTGTGACCGAATTTTGAAGAGCAACGTGTAACCACCATATTCTAAAGTAATATAATTCAGTCGTAAAACCTTCTACCCAAACGGAAATTCCGCCGTGCGTTTCAAAGCTGCGCAGATTCTCAGATTTAGCGGCGCTGCCGTTTTTGAATCCCTGAGTCGGACGACTCGCCCTGCCTTTTTACCTTCCCGCCTTGGTAATAATCATCTCGGTGCCGATCTCGTGGAAACGTTTCCAGAGCTCCGCGCCCTGCAGGTCCACCCGAGGCGCTTGTGGGGAAAGTAAAGGCGAGGCCGCCTTGGCGGAGCCTGCAGGAGTCAGAGGAGGCGACGCGCCGTTTAAGAAACTCTCTTCAGACCCACCTGTAGGAATCAAAACAGAGGGGGGGGGGAAGATATGAGTGGGCGGTAGGGCAAATAAACGGCCTAAAAGCGCTAAGCCTAACCCGAAAGGAGAGGCGGCTAGGAGAGCTACCACCTCTACGCTCCCGGGTGGGAAGAGAAAATTAAAAATAAATCCCACAGAAACCCTAACCACGAAACTAGCGCTTCCCCCCCCCCCAGTGGAAAAGGTGCCTGAAGTGTGACTCGTTTGTTCTTCGCTGCCGATTCTCCCGCGCTTCATGCGCACGTGCCTGCCTTAGAAAAAGGGCGCGTGCTTTTTCGTGTTCTCCGCCGGTGCTTTTTTTGGTAGACCCAACACCGCTCCTCGAGCCTAAATTCCACGCGGGTGTCCGTGAACGGGCCTCAATTAGGGGCGAGGAAGCAAAGTGAAAGGCTCCGAAGAAAAAGCTGGCTGGGAAAAGGCGGGAATTCATTCCCCTCCCCCACCTCGAGCCTCCCTATGCAAAAAAATAGCGCGAGGCCCACCCGGGGCGACGAGAGACGTTTAAAGAGCCGGCGCGTCCGAGCGATCGGTCTCGTGGTCCCTTGCAGCAAAAGGCGTCGGAGGCTAACGTCGATTAGGGCTGCTTCCTGGAAATAATAAATCGCCTTCATCGGAAGCAGTCTAGTTGGTTTCACGTTCCCTCTTTTTTAACGGTTGTTAGCGACAGCCGTCCCTTTTCCAGGGCCGTTTGAATTCAAGTCAGCCTCAATTTCAGGAAAGACGGTTCGCCGTGCTGAATACTTTACATGACTTTTAATTGCGGGTCTCTTTTGGGGAATGGGTTGGAAGCTGATTTTGGAGACTTCACCGCGTAGGCCTAAATCCTCTTTAAAAAGCGGCAGAAAGGAAGTATTAACTGAAATCCAGAACCGCTTTCTTTCTGCACTGACTGTACCTGGGTGTGTTGATTTGGAAGTAAATTGAGACAACAAAGAGCCCTTAGTATTATTTCATTTTCGGATGTATTGTAAAATACAGTTTCATGGACTTTAGGCCTCTTTGTCGGATGCGCCCACAAAAACGTCATCACCAAACAAATAAGCAAAAAACGCCACAATCAACTTTGTTATTTTGCATGGGTAGATTACATCGACTATTTGCCCAAACAGTTCAAACAAAGAATTTAGCAATCCAATTCAAAGTACATTTGAAGATAAATCTGTAAATTTCAATTAACTTAAATACCAAATTAATGTTTGTAAGAAAACTTGTGGTCACCTATATCTCACTTGAAGGAAAGTATGTAATATTTTATCAATTTAAGGGGGGAGGGTAAAAACTAGTGGTGAGATTCAGCCAGAATTGGTATCTAATATTTTGTTGCCCAAGCCCAGAATGGACTTCCGGAAGCGGCATGCATACAGAGAACCGGTTGTTCACATATCTGAATCCCACCCCTGGTAAAAATATTACTATATATCCAGTATATTTTAATTGATTTGCATACACTGAATAGGACCATAATAAATCCAATGTAGCTGTTGGGGGAGTTAAAAATATTAACATCTACATTTTTGAACTACTGTGGTTAACTATCAAGAGAGAAAAATATGTCTCATTGTCATAAATAACACTTCAGTCCAATTAAAAGCAAGAAGCTGAAAAGTAGTAAGGATTATCTGGTTAAAGTGGATCCCATCCATGTTTAAGTTAATATAAATCATTTTTCCTAGTAGCGATTTAGAATAAACTGAATTATTAGAAGAATGTCTATCCACAAAATGTAAAGATCTTGTTTTAAGTCGAACTAAGTCGTGTTTGAGAATATTATGTGCAACTCATCTGAGAAACCCATAAGTGAATGACCTTCCTAGATATGTCTATGGGGTGTTCAATGGAGCTTATTCCCATTTAGTTCACCACCAGATATATGCTTTGAGGACTGCAGCCTAAAAACCATACCCCATCAGTGATGATAATATAATTCTTTCCTCCATTACGCAAAATGCTTAACTATGTAAGAATTGATAGATTCTAAGCTTAGACAGTACAATATTAAACCTCCTGTAGCTTAGCATTCTGGGCCAAAACATCAAATTTGGTTACGTCTGCATTGTACAAATTCAAGCACAAGGGTTTATTCAGTAACCAGGTTCATTTTTAGGGTGAAGGCAACCCTTGTGTGATTTTTAGTCCCATTTATTTCCAATTGGACTTATGCTTTTTTTCCTTCTAGAGTGCAAAGCTCCTGGGGGCTGAGTCCCCCTGAACTCCTTGGATTGGAGAAAGAAATTTGCAAAGTACTGGAGCGTCTAGTACTATATACCTACTATGTACTATATACCTACTAGTACTATATACCTAACTGTGGGCTAATCGCACAGAAACCAATTCCTTCCAGAGAAAAACAGAACAAAATAGAATAAAAATTACACTCCACTTCTTATCATTTTACTGTGTTATTAATGCTTTACTATTATTAGTAAAAACTGAACAGGGCATTAGCAGTAGAACTTCGCCCAGTTGTTGTTTTTAAAATCCTGCATTTTCTGCTACTAGGATTGGACCCTGTTGATGTTTCTGAAAACCGCAGGACAGCTCGGTCTGATTTATACAGGGTAAATTGAAGGGAAAGGATAGGCCGCTGAGCCAAGTTATGACAGCCTTCTCTCCGTCCGAGAAGAGGCATCAGTCTGGGGATTGGGACCATTGGAAGTCGCGTTCTTTTGGAGGGAAAACGTCTCCATTTTTTAGTTATGACCAGGCAAGGAAAATGGGGGGGGGTCTTTCTTAAGTGGAGAGCGAGTTGTGTAAGCAAGAGGACGCAAGAACTTACCGGGAGCTACCTCCCGGCCGCCACAGTTCTTCGCTGCTTCAGGCGCGGCCGAGCAGGTCTCAACGCCGGAGGGCGAAGCGGCGCTCTGCCCGGCGCCTTCTCTGGAGTCCGCGTCGCAGCTGCTCCCGTGGCGGCCGCCGCCGCTGCCGCCACCTTCGGACGGCGTCTCTTCCCCGTTGGCTCCAGCCAGCTTTCGTCGCTTCTGCGGCGGCGGCTGTTGCTGCGATTGCCGCTGCTGCTGCTGCTGCTGCTGCTGTTTCTCGGCTCCGATCAACGCCTCCACCGAGAACGCGTGAGCCTTGAGGCTCAGCACGGTGGAAGGCGAGGCTCTCCGCTTCTCTGCCATGTCGGACCGGCGAACTGGAACCCTGCCGTCTTCTCTCTCTCGCCCCCGCCGGCTGCTTTGCTCTTCCAGGCCGCGCCGCTCGCCTTGCCTTGGCTTCGCCGCTCCTTTTGCATCCACCTTCTAGCGGGCTGAAGTGGGTCGCCGAGCGTTTCCCCCCTCCTCTTCCCTTTGCAAGCCCAGACGATCCCTGTATGCCAAAGCGGGGCTTCCCGTCCTCCCCTCCTCCTCCTTCTCCCGCAAGCTCTGCCTCGTCTGAGGGGCCAAACAGCTCTGACATGGGTAACAAACGCTCTGCGGACACAAATTAGGGCTTGGAATTGAAATTTGTTGCCTTGATCTGTCAGCACTTCCAAGCAGGAGACCGGTGGGAAGAATTTGCTCATTAGTGTCAGTAGAGTGGCTGGGGCGGGGGCGGAGCCCAGCGAGGAGGAGGGCTGTCAATCAAGAGGGGACTTTGGCCAATCAGAAATTAGAAATAGCCTTTCCCCCCACCCTCCCGTTGCTTCTTCCTTAGAGGGTACTAAAAATGCCTGATTAGAGAAGCCAGAGTGTGTACTTCTTGCGCTTCTTTGACTCTGGACCCTCAGAGTCGCTTTCAGGCTGTTAGAACCTTTCATCTTTCTCCTGACCTAAACGGCAGGCAGACAGGAGAACTGAAAACAAGTTCTCTCTCTTTCAGGGACTGGGCGACGTGCTATCTTTCCGTCAGATTCTCAGTTGTCCATCCCTAAAATGGGAATAATGCAAACAGAAATACCAATAGTTTTAAAGTAAACTTTTTTTTTTACTTTAGTTTACTTATAAAGTAAACTAAAGCAAATATTTCAATACTGTAGGTCATTGATAAATACTTGAGACCAGTAAGTTTTAGTTTTGCCTGCCTGCTCAAGAAATACAGGTTGCTGTTAATAACTTTTTCCCATATGAGCACATAACTGAGTTCTTCTAGTAAACATCTCTCCTAAAAACAATTATTTACTCGTTTCCAAAGCCAGTTTATCAGCCTTTATGCCAGATTGATAGAGTATATCATGGTCTGTCTCTATATATATGCAACATCCATCCCAAACTGGCCTGAGCTTCAGAAATTCTTGCCGGAATTCATAACTACTAACAGTGGTGATGATAAGTATATGCCACAACAAAGTTTTAGAATAAGATGCCACCCAATTCTTTGTTGTTCCTCTTACAACAAAAATAGCATGACACTTGCTTGGCAAACTAATAGAATGGGATTCCCATTATTTCTATAGGTATTCCTTTCATTCCAGGTCTCTAACGAAGATCAAGATATCCCGAAGCAATAGGGATGGGATGCCGCCCATGGCCTTCCAAGTCCATATTCCTCTTAAAATCATAAGTGGTAACTGTGCTCCCTCTAACCTGCCTGCAGTCCTGTGCATGAAACTTCTGACTTGCTATCTGAGTGGACTAGTTCTTCCCGCAACCTTGCAGCTGATGGTCAGCTTCAAGTACTGTATTGTGAGCAGCAGCTGCTCAAGAGCCATCTTTCTGCAGAGGAGAAAACATAAGGGGTCTCTCTGTCTGTATATAGTAATAATAATAATAATAATAATAATAATAATAATAATAATAATAATAATAATAATAATAATAATAATAATAATAATAATAATAATAATAATAATAATAATAATAAAAGTTGGAAGGGATCTTGGAGGTCATCTAGTCCAACCCCCTGCTCAGTCAGGAAACCCTATACCATTTCGGACAAATGGCTGTCCAGTCTCTTCTTAAAAACGTCCAGTGTTGGAGCATTCACCGCTTCTGGAGGCAGGTTGTTCCACTGGTTAATTGTTCTAACTGTCAGGAAGTTTCTCCTTAGTTCTAGGTTGCTTCTCTCCTTGATCAGTTTCCACCCGTTGCTTCTTGTCCTGCCTTCAGGCGCTTTGGAGAATAGCTTGACTCCCTCTTCTTTATGGCAGCCCCTGAGATATTGGAACACTGCTATCATATCCCCCCTCGTCCTTCTCTTCGTTAAACTAGACATACCGAATTCCAGCAACCGTTCTTTATATGTTTTAGCCTCCAGTCCCCTAATCATCTTTGTTGCTCTTCTCTGTACTCTTTCTAGAGTCTCAACATAAATGAGAAAGAGAAAGACATATATCAGGGTCCCTTTTTATTGATTCCCCCCCCCCAAATATGGCAATTCAAGCTGGGGAACTTTGATGTTGGGAATATCCCCCCCCCTTTTAAAAAAAACCCACAATCTTGCAGGCCTGCAATACCCAAAAGGTTCTTCCTATGCAACCATCCAGTATCTATACACTGGGACACATCCATGCTTTCCCCCACTACCTCCACCCATCACAGAAAAAAAAAGCCTCTGCCTCTACCAAGATCCATACTAGGAAAGGTAAGGGACTGTTCGCTGAGCCTTCCAGGAAACGTCTGCAGCACCCATCTCTGTCCCATGTTGGTAAGGCAGCCTTTCCCAAAGAGCCCTTCCAAGGCATGGAAGCATGAGCTTTACCTATAAAGAGTGGCTTTCTCCAATATTCTAACCCAAGGCTGGAACTTGACTGGGACCAGAATTGGGCTGAACCACCTGCTTGCAGAAGCTTTTAGCTGGTAATGCAGGAATCTCAACTGAAACTCAAGAGGCCAGCAACTTTGCTCTGCAGCTGCTGTCCAGAGCTGCTCCTGTACATGGAAGATCAGTTTAGCTAGCAAAGATCAGCATTACGGAGAGGCTTCTCTACCCAAAATTTAGTTTTCATTGGGTACACACAATGCTGGCATGTATTTTTTTGCTCACATCACATCCAAGATGTCCCTGTTTCTGGTCCTCCCATATATTTTCTTGCCTTGTTTGACTCCAGATAATCCAGATACACGCTGTAGAAGCAACCGGAGGCCCAAGCCAATCCAGTTGCTGCTCAGAAAACATACTTTGTGCAACTACTTTTGCAGCTGGGAGGGAGCACTGATTGCTGGTGTATTTAATTGAATGATCAATATCTCCCTTCACCTCTTGGGTCTTTTGATAGCAAAGTATTCAATGACGATTTCCCAGATGGTTGGGATACACATCAAGCAAAAAACCAAAAAACAAAACCCCCCAAATGTGCCAGATTGTAAATACTTTTGCTGAAACAGAATAATGGAGTTTTGGGTATTCGCTTGAAATTGAATTCATTATGTCAGCAAATGTTCTAAAAATAAACATGGACGTCTTGTGGAACTGTTGCCAAGTTAATTTGCCTAATGAATGATGCATCCCTTGAAAGAAATTCATCATTTCCAAAACAACAAGCAAAGAAACAAAAATCATCCCTTGCTAATACTAGACGAGCTTGGCAACTTTGCTTTGCTCTGAGGGGCTCCATATTGTGCTCAGTTTATTTATCATTAACAAAAGATTTTCACTGGCATAAAGCATGAACATCAAAGCTTCATCTCAACATTAATTTTATAATTTCACCCCACCCTGATCTTTTCTTTTTGGGTTTTCAATAAAATATATTCTTTTTGAGGGAATTGAAATACTGAGGTGTCATTCCAAAAAAGCCCTTTGAAATAGGCTACCCCAAACAACCAAACTGAATATACTCAATTTGGTTGAACTTTGAACTAAGTGCCATAATTCGTATTCTATAAATGTGAACCTTTCCAGAAGAATCGCTTGTCTTAATCTACTGCAGAAAAAAAAACAACCTAGAAGATTTAACAGTAGTTAAAATTAGCAGTTTATGATACCACAAAACATTTTAAATGCGAATCTAATAATGGTCTCTTAAAATTCATTTTATTCTGTAACGTAACTTTTCATTTGTATATTGTAATATAGTTTCGGTGCTAGTCCCCTTTGTAAATTACTGATAGATTTATTTTACTCTCTTTGAGTGAGGAATCCCTTTGCGATGTGAATTTTAAAATCAGTAACCAGGAAAAGTTCATAAGTTTTATATGCCTGTTTTGCTTTTTGGCTTTTGATTTGGGGTTCTGCCCCCCCCCAAAAGTGCCTTTTCTAATATCCTGCAAAGAAGTACGTTAAAAGTTCAGAGACAGCATTGAACACCAACACAACTCATTTGCAGCTTCAGTGGCAACAGAGGCGAGTGATGGAAATAAGAAATACACTAGGAAAAGGAATATACTGGGGGGGGGGGAAGCTAGAAGTTAAAATGTTTTGAAACCCATTGCTTTGGTGTTCCTTTTCCTCATGGACAGGCTCTCTTAACCCACCTTCCTATTTTGGCAATAAGGACGAGGCAGGATATGAGTCCAAAATCAGACCAGCCAGCCCCAATCCAGAGATCACACACACACACACACCAGAAAATTTTTTCAAAGCTATTCAGAATCCCACTACAAAAAGCTAGAAAACTTTACAGAAAAGAAAGGAGGCATTAGTCGTCATTCCAGTTATTCTGCCCTTCCTATCTCACACATTCGCTTAGCCTTATAGACAATCTTCTGTAGGGTCCAGCTATCCTACTCTGACCCCTCCACAGATGCTAAGGAGCCAGGTACTGAATTTGAGGAATGAGGTGACCTGTCCTCAGGTGAGCTGTTGGATCCCCACAATCCCTTAAAAAAAGAATGGGACTTTTTCTCTTTTCGGAGAGGATAACTTCAAGTGAGGGGTCCTTGATGCCCTCTCTGAGCTTGCTTGTTTTCTTGCAGAGGTTTCATTACCCAAATTAGATAATAAAACATCTGCAAGAAGACAACCAAGCTCAGAGAGTACCAAGGACCCCTCATTTCAACCCTGAGCTACAAATATTCTCTCAGTAACTTCAATGAGTTGTCCACATTCTACCTTCTTGTGTAGAATGTGGCTGGCAAGAAAGGTTGTTCTTCTAATGAATTCTCAGCTGAGTTTAGTTATTCTCACAAGCCACCTGCTTACTATAGGTTTCGTTCTGAGAAAATGAGTGTAGTTTTTTTAAAAAAATAATTTAATGGCCAGAAGAATTATCATACTTGAAATCATTGCATATGTGCAATTGGTTTATTTTCCCTTATTTAAA